AGTTTGTGTAACAGCCTTGTTCAGCCTTGTACTGCGGTTGCTAAAAATTCTGACATCCCACTCAGCCACCCAAAGATGAATCTAAATCAGCAAAGTCCAAATTTAACTCAGATCTGAAAACTCTGACGCCACATCTGAACTCAAACACATTTGGACAAAGCTCTGGTTCCTAACCTGCAGGGGACACCCTCACAGTCCTGCAGCTCAGTGTAGACCTGTAGCCTGAGTCACTGACCAGTCTAGGGTTCAGCTAATCCCCCCCATGCGTGAGCCAAATGCCATCTGTGTTTGTTTGGCAACAAAGGAGGGGGGGGGGGGGTTAATGACTTTCCTTGTCTTCAGTGGAGTACTCTTGAAATTGAGGGACGGAAGTAGTGAAGTAGAACATGGAAAGGCAAAATTAAAAAAAAAAAAAGCTGGTATCAATAACTGACCTGGACATTAGGGTTTGGCTGAAAACTCAACTGGAAAAGTTTCCAATTCCACTTTAGTTATTATTCACTCATGAAAACCTCATTTGAAACTTCTCCCACATTTATTACACATCAATCCAGTGTCCACATGTCAGTCCACATGTGTCCACCTGTGGCTGAAGGCACGTCTGTGACCCAACTCCAAAACACAACATCATCTGAGCATTTTAGGAACTCATTAACTAACACGTAACCCCTAACTGAGTAAAGCCCTCCTGAGGTTATGTTAGACTTTACTTAGAGCCCAGGAAATAGGCCAAAGATGTGGTTGTTGTGCGCTGTTGACAGGAGAGTCTGGAAACTGAGGAACAAAACCAGAAATTGTCCAAAAATACCATCAAAGACCCACAGTCCTCACTAATGAACACGTGAAGATCTCCTGCTGTGGTTTAATGATTGGAAAGTAACTCTTGACTTTAACGTCACAGTCTTGAATTGTAGCCAATATTATGGAAAATATTTGAAAGGTGTGAATTTAATGACTAAAACATAGTAAAATATGTTGCATCTTAAAGTTGTTTTTGTTTTGAGGTGACTTCAATTTGATTGGGATTTTAAAGTTGTTTTTGTTTTGAGGTGACTTTGATCGGGATTCCAAACCCTGAGAAATAAATCTTTGACCAAACTTAAATGGTTACCTGTTCAAATTCTGTAATTTGAGATTGTTAACAATTACTCCGGTCCACACTCGGTGTTAGCATGGACTGGACTAGACGGCGATGCGACCAGATTAGCTGTGGAAGAGCGACCGACTGCTGAGCACAGACCTGCTGAAGATAATGTTGTTTGCTTTGATTTTTCACAGCGTGTTGCTCATGTTGATGATGACATCTCTGCTCCCTTTGAGTGAATAGTGATTTGAAACAATGGAGGACTGCACACTGAGCATGTTTTGCAAGCTTTGGATTGAACTTTGACCCCTGGATAATCCCTTTCACTGCCCGGTCTTTTAAATTAGCCGTGTGACACACCAGCCCTGGTTGCTCAACCATTTACTGTCGGCCTGTTAGACTCCAGGCTGTAGACGCTCCTTTTTGCTTTAATCCAAAACCTAACATCAATATTAGTCTTCAAATATGGAAACTGTGAGACACTAATCAGGAAGAGCTGCAACAACAGGAAAATGAAAATTACAGAATTTTTTTTTTTAACTAATCTTTATAGCAGCTGTGCTTTTAAGACGAAACCCATGATTATATCCGCCCCTCTCTTCTGCCCCACCACTCTGATCATTTCCACCCATTGGAGTCCATCTACTCCAGCCAACTTGCTTGGCGGGGCAAATTTAGGCAACGGGGGAAAAACCAACAACCTGTGCTGCAGCGGGTCCTTTTTTTCTGACCCGCTCAACTGTTAACTGTGTTCTTTGCTCTACCATGCAAATGCAAGTGGATCCAAGCAGGCATGATAGGATGACGCCTATATGGGGCCTCTTCCCAAAACCAACAGCACTTTCTACAATGTGCAGGGGATTCCACGGCCCCCCTTTTTGTGTAAGGGGACAAAAATCATGACTAAGTCGTTTCCTACAAGGTCCATGCTGCTTATCATGACCAAAATCAATGACGTGACTGGATTTATTTATTTATTTATTTATAGTAACAGTGGAAATACCGAGGTTATCAGAGCTGCCAGTTGTCATTGCTTCATTACAGACACTTTTAAATAATCAGTATTTTGACATCACTATCTGTGTGTTTGTGTGTGTGTGTGTGTGTTTCTGATACACTTGTTGAGATATTCGGTGAACTCTATTGTTGTGGCGACCTTTTGTCCATGTGTGTACATTTTGTTATTCTCAACTGAGTGAAACTGAGTTAAGATTAGAATTAGGGTTGGATTACAGGACACAGATTGAAGTAAGTCATATATTAGTAACAGCTAATGTTAGCATAAGGGGCTAGGGAATGCATCGTGGCTACGTATTTGAAGTGCTTACAAAACACAAAGACCTGTTTGTGTGTGTGTGTGTGTGTGTGCTAGCCTTTCCCTCAGGCATTACTACACACTGGTATGTTGACTATTGGAATGCATTTACTACAGAGTGCAGCCTCACACACAGACTCTGAGGCTTGTGCGTGTGCTAACCATTCATCAGCAGAAACACCAGTTCAGACACGTTCACTGGGGCAGAAACTGGATCAATACTAAATTCAGACGAGGGCAGATCTTCAGTTTCTGTCTCTTCTGAACTTCTTTTGAACATCCTATAGATCGTAACCTTAGTGCCCAGGGTTCAAAGGTCAATTTTAATGACCTTTCAGAAACATTTAGGGTCACTTTTCAGATTTTTTTTTTCATTATTTCACAGGCTCAGTGAATTATGAATTATTTGGCTACTGGTGAACTTATGTGTCAAGATAATTTTTCTCAGAGGGGCACTAGCATGCTTTAGCACATCTCAAAGACTACATTCCAGTTGCTGTGTTTTCGTGCATGCTCAGTTTACCTGTGATCACGTTGATGTCAGGATACGTGTTTTCGCACAGCGCCACAGCCAGGCTGTCTCTCTCGAACGCCTCTCGTAGCTCCTTCTTCACAGCTGCAGATCCACACAGACGATACAGACCCACCACCTGTAAACACACGCACACGACAAGTAGGTCAAATAAACATGCGTGCCTGAAGAGTCAAACAGTTGACAGGGAGGCAGACATCTTTACAGCCACATCCATCACGGTGGTCGTTGGAACTCAAACAACGGGCTGGACGGAAGCCAAACGTTCCATCACATAGAAATGTCAGGTGTCTTTAAAATCTGCTCTGTTTCCTCTCAGCGACTGACAGGAACACCTTGTACTGACCTAATGTGTTGCTCATTTTATTTGTTTGTTTTACCACCACCGCTGTTTCTGCTTTCTCAGCAGTGTCTCTTAAAAATATGAGCTACATAGAAATACAAGCCATTCTCACTATATCACTGATCAGCTTCAAACATTAACCATCCTTAGGTCTCAGCAATGATCTGAAGCATGATTGAAA